AGAGAAACAAACTCTTTGCCACACTCAACCTCAATTTTCAAAGTCAGGCAGAAAGCGATGGGGTAGCCCTGGTAATAAGTGACATAAGGGCAGAAATAGGAAGTGATCTTAATATGGGTGGAGATTGGCAAGATCAAAGGTCAGAAAGTACTGGTGAGAGTAGTTTAGATGTCCCCTAAAAGTCTTTTGGGGGTTGGGTAGAACATTAAACTCAATTATTGTACCTTTATAACAAAACATAATAGTTGCAGAGGATTTTATCTCCAGAGTCTGGGCCAACCAAAGGGGCAAATGTGATCTGGAAAATTTTTAATGGAAAATAGCAAAAAGCTGAATGATAATGAAATCAAACTTTAAGGTTTGAAAATGACTGTCCAAGCATAAGAATCTGAAACTTATAGCCAAGTTTAGTGCAGGGGTCTGAGCTGTTCACTCAATGCCTCATCATTTAAGTTATTAATGTTGATAGTAACATATGTTGTGAAGAAGGCACAAGCTGAGAAGAAATTTAAACAGGTTAGATGAGTGGTCAAAGTGGGTAGGAATATAATGGGAAAATTGAATTATTCATTTTGATTGCAAGACCAGAAAAGTGGAATTTTTTTTTAAAAAGTTTAAAACTTAAATGTTGGGGGTGCTTGGGTGTATTTATTCAAGGAACACAAAGTTAATATGCTGATGTATCAAGCACTTTTGATAGCAAAATGCATGTTTGTCTTTGCAAGGGATTGGAGAAATTTTTCATGTTTATGGGACACATGTTCCAGGCAAAGCAAACGTTTATTGGCTATCAGCAACAAAAACAGTAGTTGCTGGAAAAGCTCAGCTGGTCTGGCAGCATTTGTGAAGAGAAATCAGAGTTAACATCTCTGGTCTGGTGACGCTTTGTCAGCAGTGATGGTAGCAAGGAAAATGTAGATTTTTTTTATGGCAGAAGATAAGGTGGGGATGGGGGGGTAAGGAGTAAACAACAGGTGCTGATAGAGCCCAAAGGGAGTGGATAATGCTGTGGCTGGGAGGATGAGTAGCTATTAATTTTTGTTTTTATTCCATCTTTTATTCATGAACAGGATGAGGGTATTGCTGGCTAGACAGCATTTATTGCCCATCCCTAATTGCCCAGAGGGCAGTTGAGTCAACCACATTGCTACAGGTCTGGAGTCGCATGTAGGCCAGTCCAAGTAAGGATGGCAGTTTCCTTCCCTAAAGGACATTAGTGAACCAGATGGGTTTTTCCTGACAATCGACAATGGGTTCATGGTCATCATTAGATTCTTAATTCCAGATATTTTATTGATTTCAAATTCCAGCATCTGCCATGGCAGGATTTGAACCTGGGTCCCCAGAATGTTATCTAGGATTAACAGTATAGCGATAATACCAGTCGGCCATCACCACTCCTATAGAGAGGGGACTGTTAGTTACTAAGAATAGGTAGTGTGTAATCGCAGACTGTGATAACAAGGCTTGGTGTGTGGGGTAGAGGGCTGGGACATGGGAGAGTTTTGGCCCTAAAATTATTGAACTCTATTAAGTCCGGAGGGCTGCAGGGTCCCCAAGTGGAAAATAAGGTGTTGTTCTTTCAGGTTGCACTGTGCTTCTTTGGAACACTGCAGCAGCTCAGTGTGGTCTCTACATTGGGGAAATAAAGCATGGACTACGTGACCGCTTCCCGTGACATCTGTGTTCTGCCTGCAAAAAAGACCCTGAGCTTCCAGTTGACTGCCACTTTTACGCACCACCATGTTCCCTGGCCAACATTTCTGTCTCAGTTTTGTTGCAGTGTTCCAGTGAAGCTCAGCACAAGCTGGAAGAACAACACCTCATTTTCTGCTTGGGGACCCTGCAGCCCTTTGGACTCTGTCGAGTTCAAAAATTTTAGGGCCTAAACTCTCCCATGTCCTAGCCCCTGACCCCACACACCAGGCCTTGTTATCACAGTCTGCCACTGCACATTACCTATTGTTAGTCACTACCAGCCTCCATTAACAATTATTCAATGTTGGGGGATTCAGCAATGGTAATGCCCCTGGATGTCCAGGGTAGATGGATATTGCCTGGCACATAGTTACTGGCTACTTATCAATCCAAGCCTCAATGTTGCCCAGATTCAATGAACATGGACGTGGCTTGTTTCCGTATCGGAGGAATTGTGAATGGTGAACGGTGAACAATAATCAGTGATTATTATGATAGAAGGAAGGTACTTGCTAAAGCAGTTGAAGATGGTTGGGCTTTGGTCATGACCTTGATGTCGTCTAAGCTAATTCATCTCATTTTTTGCTAGGTATGACTCTAAGCAAAGACTTTCCTTCAGATTTGGTTTTGCAAGGGCTGTTTCATACCATATTTGGATACGCAGCTTTGTTAGATGCACCCACTCAACTCACCTCAAGTTCAGCATTTTTTTCCACCTTTGGACCAAGACCCTAAGCAGGTCAGGGTTGACTGGCCTTGACAGAGCCCAAAAGACTTTGAACATCTTATTTGTTAAGCAAGAGAGATAGTAGGAACAGCCGATGCTGGTGTATGAGATAACTAGGTGTAGAGCTGGATGAACACAGCAGGCTAAGGAGGGTCCAGACCTGAAACGTCAGCGTTCCTGCTCCTCTGATGCTGCCTGGCCTGTTGTGTTCATCCAGCTCTACACCTTGTTATCTCTTATTGCTAAGCAAATGCTGTTTAGTAGCACTGACTATCCTTTCTCTCACTTTGTTTTTATGGGGTGAGGTGGGGCAGTAAATGATTGATTCAGACTTGTCAACGCCCCCAGTCTGACAATCTTGGCATGAAAATGGGGAAAATGTTTTAATATTAAATGGAATGAAAGCAAATTTACTGAATGATGAGCTATGCATCAAAAACTAGCACACAAAGTTAACTGTCCTGTGCCATCAACTACTAATATTTTGACCAATTTTTCACTTTAGGACAGTTTAAAATGTCTGTAGATCACTCAAGTAGGTGGATTGTACTAGTAATAAATACAGCTTTAAAAATTCTTCCAACTGTGTTTGGGTTATCTTAATCCAACTGAGTATACTCTATACTTGGAAGCTACATTATTGTACCAAGAGCATGCAAATTTAAACATTCTATTCTCCTACTAATAAGCAATTCTAGTTCAAAATACCTTTTCCCTACAAAGTACAAGTGGCTGGCAACACTTTCACATTCAAGCTTAAATATGTTTGACTTTTATTGGATAGTCTAACAGCAACAACATTGTCATTTATTATGTTAGTACTAAACACATCTGTAATCTTGCAAATATTCAATGTAATCACATTCTACTTCCCTTGTATTTAATTATGGCACATTCCTTCAAAAAGAAACCAACATCAGTTCAACCAAGCTTAAAAGGAACTCCCCTCGTCTGCAAAGAAAACAATTGAGGACATAGGCTGAGCCAAAGGAGGGTGGTTCAGAACAGATGAACTTGAGCCCAATAACCTGCTGCTGCTGTAGAGTTAACAAGTTACTCCATTTTTCAGAAATTCTTTTGAAAGCATGCAAGTATATTATGATATTTAGTGGGGATGATTGAAGGAGGCCAGTATCACACCCAAATTAAATTGTAGTATTGCTCCAGTGTCTGATGGGGAAGATAGTGGTGTTGTGATCATGTCACTCGACATGGATATCAGTAGTCCAGACACAAGCTCTAGGACCTAATTCCAATCCCACCATGGGAAATAAAAGTTTGTTTGCTAATAGGGACTGAAATTTTCAGATATTAAATACCATTTAGTTCACTGATGACCTTGAGGGAAGAAAATCTGCTATCCCTTTTTGCAGTGTTTCTACCTGCCACTCCAGATCCACACCATTTGTGGTTGACTGTAAAGTGCTCTAGCAAGGCAATCATTTTATTGACCATCAAATTTGGGCCTTGCCACCAATGCCAAAAAAAAGAGACAAAAGAGATGGCAAGCAAAACACAACTCTCCTGCAGTACTCATTGATCCTGTTTCCTATACAGGAAAATGCACATGGAAACTAACCATTCCATTTGCTCTAGCCCCTTCAAACAGCAGGATTAAGTTATTTTAAACACGAAGATTCTTAACGGTTCACATTTTTCTAACTTAACAACTTCTTACTTTTGCTGACTTTCTATGATGGAGGTATAGCCAGGAGAAAAGCAATTTTAGGGTTAAAATCTGACAATGTCTCCAGTCTGTAACATGAGGATTGCTTTAAGTGTCTTCAGGAAATTTGGGAGACTGGGAGTAGCAGAACATTATTCAATCGGTTAAGGGGTGATGGAATTGAGAAGGAGACAATGATTGGAAAATTGACAAGTGTGTCTATAGCCACAAGTTCAGAATGACGTGCTGCCAATTCAATATACCTGGCATCATTGGAGGATAAAAAGGTTTTTAGACCCGAGTGAGTTGATAGTGTTGTAGTTATTGGAACTGATGATTTTGGTAGGATCAAGAAATAATTTTCAGCTTTCCACACTGCCCTAAACTTTTAAATTATTTCATGGTCAGTGTTCCTGCCAAGATCAGTGTGTTGCTAGTCTTGATCTATCAAAATACCTCTACACCATGTTTTATGGTCTGAAGCAGAGGAGAAAAATCAGACAGGATTGCAAAGTATTATTGTCTATGCTTAATTAGCAGAAGTGGATATTTGTCAACGACAATAGTTTAACTAACAATCTGTCCAGAAAGCTACATATATAAGAGAGAGAGAGAGATAGTGGAGGACAGTGAAAAATAGCTGCAGCAAAATTATAAAGAATCACCACAGGAAACAAAGCCAGAAAACTGGAAAGTAAAAATACCCAAACTGATCTGTTTTTTTTAAAACCTATAGTAACAGGCTTATACCCCACAGGCCTCAAAGTATTAAGCGATTAAATATGCAATTTAGGTACTCATATTAATCTTACCTCATGCTTATTTCAAGTACTTCAAGACACTTCATGCATTAAAAAGTTGTAATTGTTCAAAAAAAAGTAGTTGTATTGAAATAATTCCAAACACAAATATCATTGCAAGAAATGTGTTTTATTTTAGTTTAATGTTTTACCAATTTTAACAGCCTTCTGCAACAACAGAAGTCTTTGCACTAATTGGTACCAAATAAATTAAAGACATTTGACCAAAGTTGAATGTTCCAATGTAACATGATTCCAGTAATGTTTCACTTGTAAAACTGCAAATAAAGCCACATTTTACTCTGATGGTTTTCTAGGCACTAATGGGTGTACAGTTCAGCTGGTAAAGCTGATTTGGTCACAGTATACCATTTCCTAAAATTTCTTGCACAAATTTATAAGAGACTATTCTGATACCACTCACTGCTTAGCATTTCGTGCTCAATCTATGCCAAACACAGCAAAAGCTCTGCAATGAGACATGGGCTAATAGATTTACTTGTCAGTTTTAAGGTGTAAACATCAATAATTACACAATTATAATATGGGCAGTGGTTTTGAACAACTGACACCCAAATCCCTAAACTGATATTCTCTCTCATTTGTACACCTGGTTCCATGTTAATATTGACATGTTAAACATTTTCGTTCATTGTTTCCCCTGTTTGCAAACATGATGCTGCTTCCTATTTTAAGATTTCAAAAACCTAGAAATTCTGTTAGCAAAATATTTTTCAATTGCTCCTCCAGGATGTTCAGTAATTAACTTAGTATATTGCAAATGAATAAAATACATACAAAACATTAAATCTAACATTGTAGGTTTACTTGCAAAAGTGGAACTTGAGAATTGTTATGGCACAATATGCTGCTATCTTCTACTTTTTCCAAAGTGGATGGGTTAACAAGATGCAGACACTAAGAATTCACTATATTCGCAACCTTCCATTAACACCAAAAACATGAACTCAAGAAAGTCTCCGTTCCACAGAAAGCTTTTCTTTGTAATTACTTCTTATTGTGCCAAATGCCAATTTTTGTGCCACCTAAGAAAGTAGGACAGGAGATTGTCAAAACTCATGATCCACTCCAAGTACATAACACACGTCAAGGCAGTATGCTACATACATGTTTGGTCACAAAAAATAAAAAGGAATTTAATGTTTTGAATCAAAAACTTCCAAAAGGCAATTACTCCTAAAAGTGCAGGACTTGCAACAATACAAGCATACAAGGAACAAATATTATGGTTGCTGTAATCCAGAAGATACTTAAAGAAGTTACATAGAGCAGACTTGAAACATGTACATCATATTTCACAATATGTATTTTTAAAAAATCACAAGTATTTTGGTAAATGAAAAGTCTCAAAGACCCTGAAATAAACTGAGAAGTACAACTAAAATAATTGAAAGTAACAAGTACTGTTCTGCACTTTGCTTTTCCATTGCTATTGATAGTCAAATACACATGCACTATGTTGCTAACTTTATTATGCATTATTGTGATAGAGATATTTGTGATAACCCTCGACCCACAGGTGCTGCAGGAGATTAAATCTCTGAGAAAATGAGGTTGATGTGGTTAAAATATCTGGTCAGTGTTTTAATGTACTACGTGAAATGGCAACATATAGCCTCCTCAGAAATTAAGAGGTTTGGTCAATTTTGAGCTTTCATGCACCAAATTTCAGCAAAGCATTCAGAACCTGTATTCTGAATATATTTCACAAAATCTGCTTTGCAGAATAGCTTAATTGTAACCAATCCCTATAAATGGGCAAACACAGAACAAAATGATATTTAAAGCATATTTGGTCCAGGTGACTTCTGGCATCGTTCTTAGCTGTCCTTATACAGAGCATGAAAAATGTCAATTGCACATACTGGATTATTACTTAAGGTACTGCATATACCCATAAACAGAGTTGCACTTGCTACACAAGACTCTCATCTCAGTCTCCACTGCAAGACTACTGTGAGTCTGCTACAGATTTAAACACAGTTACCCAAATTTTACAATGGACCCTGAAGACGTTTTTATTGGTGGGCAGTTGTACAACACTCAGTACCAGTCTGGTTTAGGTATTTAATATATGCTCTTGAAAATTTACAACAAAATCTTGCGTAGAAATGCTAGTCTAGGATTGCAAATAATTAGATCTATACATATTTTCTGGTGCTTTTAATATCAATATATTTTAATGAGACAAATACAACTTTACAATAGAATGGGTGAACAGTTACTGCAGGACCTAGTAAAATTATCATGCATTACAGATGTCAGCTAATCCACAACACAGCCAGGTCATTCAAAGCAAGTCCCTCAAACAATCTTGTTCACTATACCTGCTCTGGTTAAAGAACTTCCTAATAAAAGGAAATTTCTAAGTGCAATACGATTCCTTCAAAAACCATAAAAAATTGCTTGGGTTGCCTATCTTGAAATAATTTAAAATGATTTCATAAATGAATAAATATTTATGCCTAAGTAAACAGGTTTAATGTTTTTATTCCCCCACCCCCCCACCCCCCTCAGTTACCAAAAGGTTGCAACATGTCCCCTCTGGTTTCATTTATGTATAACTGCTTCAAGCACTCCTAACTGAGGGTGCCCTTTTAGAGGTATTCAAATAAATAAACTGGTCAATGTATTAAAATCCACAAAAACAGCTACATTATTAGAAAGACGATCATAATCTAAAGCGGACCTAAACAGTATAAAAATGAACCTTCAGACAGTATTCCTTCAAACTTCAACATCACCAATTTAGTGTTTGCTTACATGTTCCAGCAGCCACATCTCAATGAACAACACATGCACAGCATCTTACCACCATTTCAAAATGTATCGCATAAACCACAAGGAGCAAAGTTACGTTTCTATCATAATGTTATAATTTCACCATTTGGATACTGGTCCCATTTAGAAACATAACCTAGTTACTGCTTGACTGAGTAATTTTGAAGGCATTAGAAAAGATAGCCTGTAATGACAAGGTAAATCAGTTATTGGAAAGAATGTTGCTGTTAATGTATTTTAATTTGCTGGTCAAAAAAATTGAGCAGAGCACAAGGTTTCAACAACGGAATTTGGGCCTTCCATATCTCATTAATAAACTTACGACTTTATTGTTAAAACACTACCTTTCTCAAAATAGAGTGTATTCACTTGTAATTTTGTTTACCTAACTTGCTGATACCTTACATTCCTAATCTCTGCTTTCACACATTTCCACAAAATTGATTATTGTCAGAAAAATATTATATTCCTTCAAAAAAAAAGCAAATTCATTCAGTTAAAGAAAACTTGAAGCAAGAGATACCACTATTAAATGTTAACCTGTCTCCGTGCATTCCTTCAGATTAGTACAGCTCAAAATAAAACCAGCTCATGAAAAACTGTCAATTGGACAAAATATTGTCTAACTTCTACATGTGTATCTCATCAAAATTTGTGTCATCATATCTTTAATAAGCCATTGCATGAAAGACCATTTTTATTTGTTTTGTCTTTGTTTTCTGTAATTCACTGGGGTGATCAGTTCTAGTAGCACTTAATGAAAGCTAAAATAAAAATCTAGCTATTGTCCCTCATTGTGAGCATTAAAACTAAACATACCGTGAACTGCCCTTGACCTGTAATAAAAATGAGGCAGTATTAGCCAAGATAGCTTATTAGCTGATTGCATTAATTAATGCAAGTGATGTAGAAAACAAACATTGTGATTTCATTGTTAACACGTAAAGGTGCTTCTTGTATGTTTTGAACAATGATTTACATCAAATGAAATGTAACTGCATCAATCAATGCCAAAGAAACTCCGTTGAGAATATAGTGCATTGTGCAACATTGAACAAAGTTTGGCCGACTGTATTAAAGAAGTCATCCCTTTGCTTCTCAAAGTGTGAACAATTCGGGATCAGGCACAGGCGGCATATCATCTTTTAAGGGTTATGCACTTAGTTTCTGGTAAACTCCAACCCCCATCACAAGAGAATGCACTTGTCCTTTTCTTTTTCCCTTGTTTCCTTGCGCTGTTTCCGTTCAGTGCCCCCAAGCTGTTTGCCAGCAGCAGCTGCCTGCGATTGTTGACCTTCCTGGAATTTGAGGGGAAAATACACTGAGTCTTAAATCATAATAACTGAATGATAAAAAGGAACAGTAATTTTAGGATGACACCGCACTTGAATCTACAGGCAGGATTTTAACTGCTACCGTAACCAAGTTTTCAAACTTCTACATCATAGGTTTTGCCATTCTTGGAAAACAGACCTTCCAGCCCATGAAAGCATTCTGAAGAAGTCATACACTCAAAACATTAACTGTTTCTATCTCCCTGATGCTACCAGACCTGAGTTTGTCCAACATTCTGTTTGTTTTATTGAAAGAATACTGCTGTTTTGGCAGATGACCTTGTTGTCGATGGTAATTATGGAGAACACCATGGTCAAAATGACTTTCCAACAGGAAGGGAAAAGTTAAAAATGATTCTTAAAATAATGATATTCCTTCAACATTTGATCTGTTCCCAACCTCAATGGGAGCTGTTACATAATATGTGCTAATTAAAATGGATTATCTACATAGAATTCCCACAGTGAGACAAGCCTTTCAGAAGATGTGAATAATTGTCCACATCAATATCTAATTAACTTCCTAATCTTCAAATTCAAACAAAACCTTTTTTCTAAGAAACAAACCTGAATTTCCTTAATCTTTCACAAAATGTTGGCAGATTTTAGGGAATCAAGTTTGCTGCTCACCACACAGGGTCAACAATATCCTTCCTCAAATTAGGTGACCAGAACTGCATGAAGTTACTTAATGTAACATTTCATTACTTGGCTTTGAGCTGCAGCTGCCTGTTCCTGTTCATGATAGAACTGGGATGCTCGTCTGTCTTCTTCTTCCTGCAGTTTTTTTGCTAGTTCGAGATCACTTATTCCTTCAGGAATCTGCTCCCAGGGTAAGTCCTGACTTTGCTGCTCCTGCTGTAAGGACAAGGCCATCAAATAGTCCTGAGAGAAGAAATAACGTCCAATCAGGAAATCCCTAGATTAGGGATCAGTCATTACCCTTGAAATGCATATACAGTTCTAGTGATAAGATAAAACATGCCTTAAAGTTTTCAAAACTTGAAAGAATTATTGTGCATGGGATATTACACATGATTTCAAAGTCACCTACTTTAACGTTAAAATAGAATAGCAAAAAGAATTCCTGAATGCTCTTATTTGTACACCTTTCTCTTTAAGAGATTTTATACTTGAATCAGAATCCTTTACAAATTTAAGCTTTGGAATTTCTTTGATCAGGTACCTAAATGTTCACAATAGTTTTGGATTTGCAGAAATATTCAGATGGTTACTCACTTATAAAACCACAACATGAACAGGCTGGAATTTTGGTCATCATTAAATGCAAAAACTGAAGCTACCAGTTGCTCTTTCTAATCCCCCTCCCTGCAACTTTGCCCTTGAAAGATTAAACATATCAACTCATTAGCTATTCACACATTTCAAGAGATAGACCAGAGTTCCAACTTCAGAGAGCCAAGTGACACTAACGATTAGAGGAAAATCCCTCTGCCCCATGAAGCAGAAGACAGAAGCTAAAAGTTACAGTAAAACCAGTTATCTCCTTCAGTTTCACATCTTGCACATGCCTTTTCCAATAAGTTTCTCTTTTACTTCAATTGTACCACTGGCCAATCAGCCAGAATAACCAGAATGCAGTTTGAAACTTTTGCTGCATTCCTGTTATCCCACTATCTCTGTTTCATTTCAAGACAATTTTTACCAACATATCCTCGGCTCCCAAGTCTAAGAGATTTTCCTTCTATTTTGCAACCATTTCTGTTTTGTTCTTCAATGCTAAGTGCTGGAGTCAAAACGCTGCATCATTAATCAATGATTGTCCCTACCTTGGAGCCAACAAACCCAGGTTCACCTCCCACCTGCCCCAGGAATGTGCTGTAAAACAGCTCAGCAAAATGATTAAAAATACCTTGAGCACATGGTCGTGTTCCATGCCTTAAAATGTTAGAGGTGGCAGGGTGGCTCAGTGGTTAGCACTGCTGCCTCATAGTGCCAGGGGCCTGGGTTCGATTCCCCCTTGGGCCCCTGTCTGTGTGGAGATTGCATGTTCTCCCCATGTCTGCATGGGTTTCCTCCCACAGTCCAAAATATGTGCAAGCTAGGTGGTCTGGCCATGCTAAATTGCCCATAATGTTCAGGGATGTGTAAATTAGGTGGGATGCTCCGAGGGTCCGTGTGGACTTGTTGGGCCAAAGGACCTGTTTCCACACTGGAGGGAATCTATGAATCTATAGATAAGATATCTAAGTTCATGTGTAGTCAAATTAGCTAGTAATGGACATTCCTGTTCTTTACAGTTTACCTGATCTATTTGATCCTGCTGTCCTTTGTACACAGTTTCTGGGTCAGATGGAGGTCTCAGGTGAAATTCAGAGTCACAGAAATTGCCATCTCCATCCACATTGTGTAAACTCTCCCAGACCACTTTCTCTTCTGTAAGAAAACCCTGGTCTGTCACCAGTAGATACAGCTGGCCCTATCACAGGACAAATATGAAACACAAATTAAACTTCATTTCAGTCAGACTTCTTTCTGAACAAACCAACAAAAATGTGAAATGTTTAGTTCAGTAAGTTAAATTCATTCATTAATAATAGTCTGTAAAAATAGTCACTAAAAAATGTCTAAGTCCTGGGACATTACCAACATTCTGAATAAAATCAAAAACTGTTGCTTGTGTCAAAGAAACTACTTTTGAAAATAAATCTAGCCTTGTATAGTAATATTGCTGTTGAGGCACACTAAGCTGAGGTGTGAATCATAAATCTAAATATCCCAATGTCCTTTATAAAGTTTGAAGATGTGAAATTGTACAATGCAGTATGTCAACACCATGTTTTCATTCAGGAAACTCAAATCATTCCATACAGTCTCTCTCCTTACAATAGCCAATAAAAACATTAGAGTCATAACAATCCCAGGCATTTTGTAGATGAAATCCATAAACTTCACAGAATTCAAAGATTACAATGAGGCTGAGTTACAAGAGAATGCTCTGGTGCACCAAGTATTCTTTCAAGGTTGGAGCAGAACATAGTACTGGCATTTGACCCTATTTGCCAAACTCAGAACCTCTACCAGCCAAAAGGACAAGGGCAGCAGATGCAGCTGGTGTTCCGTCACAAGTTCCCCTCAAAGACAGACACCATCCTGACTCGGAATTATATTGCCATTCCTTCAGTGTCACTGGGTCAAATCATGAACCTCCCTAACAGCATAATGGCTGTACTTGCACCACGTGGACTGCAACATTTCAAGATGACAACCAGTTTCTCCAAGAGACATTTGGCTAGGCTAACGTTTATTGCCCAACTATGACATATCCCATGAATGAATAAAAATAAATCCTCTGCGCTAAGTAGTCAATGATTATTCCCTTAC